AGTAAAATTTCAGGCACAATGTATCATCTAGAAACAGTAATTACATTTATTTAACATGTACAACATGTTACACATTATCGTAATTGTCACAGATAATTAGTTATTCACATTCAAACGTTTCCAGTATTACAAGAAACCCCACAATTGTATATTCATAGCATATCTGTGTTTTGTCTAAATCAGACAGTATTGTATTTGATGATGACATGTTTTTGTGGTATCATCGTGGGACGAATGAGTTATAGCTTGCTTTGGGGATTGAGTAAGTCCTTGAGTGCATCCAGGTTTTCCCCATCTGGACTTTCGGGCCACGAACTATGATCTAGACACAGACACACAGATACGCACAGCAGAGTAAAACACAATTGTATGGAGGGGAACAAGCAGTGCAGAAGGCACGTTGTGACAAAATTCAACATACTGGGTATCTCCCACATGGAGTGGTACAGACTCTGCCCTGCATCAACCTTCAGTGTGGCTCCAGAAATGTAGGAGGCGGCAGGAGAGAGCAGGAAACAAACTGCAGATGAAATCTGACCACACAAACAAAATATCGAGGACAAAAACAATGCAATTTATTGTGCTTTGGATATTTGTCAAAGATTGCACAAGAGAGCAGAGCAGTGATGACTTTGTCGAGCTGTTCTGACAAGACAACATGACTGAATTTCCATAATCGTAGTCTCTGCCTTATCCTGATATTCAATGAAAAATTTCTACCTTAACCGCGGTTGAAGTGATTTGGGACGCTTCATTTAGACAAAAGTAGTGCTCTGTTGCCATCTTGTGCCATAAAAGGAAATTATAAACATATTTAGTGATGGCAGACATTTTGACTATTGATTGAAGGGGTTGGTCCCTCCCTCCCTCCCGTGGATAGTGGGGGAATGAGTGTTATGGTATCTTTAAATTGTCACAACTCACACCTCTTCTGGTACTCCAAGTCTCTTTGCAGGACTAAAAGTGACAGACATCTTGAAAAGGGTTGGTCCGAGCTCCTTGTAGTTCTCCATTGCCGATTTAGAGAAAATTGTGCCCTGCAGCCAAACGTACACCGGCTTGAAACACCACAATATCAAACATTGATGGAAATGGAACAAGGCAGGCGTTGTGCATACCGGGGCAACAGCGTTGACTCGGACACCTGAGGCAGCCCACTCAATGGCCAGGCTCTTTGTTAAGTTATCCACTGCTGCTCTGGCTGCGCCTGTGTGGCTGTCCGTGAGACAACGGCTGTGTTTGGAATCATCCATTCATTCCCTACTAATTTTTGGATTAGATGACTACTGGACCATACACTGTAATATTAGCATTAGTAGTAGTAGTAATAGACGGAGGGGCGTATCAAATATTATTTGTAGTGTATGCTTTGGGTCATTAAAAATGGACCTTAATTTGAACGTCCCTGATGTAGGGAAGAACTTGACTCACTGCACATTCAAAGCGTGTTTGGTGAGTTGACTAAGTAGTGGACGAAGATGGATTCCAAACACAGTCAAGGGCTCTATTTGAGGTTTGGACCAGTCTACATTTCAGGGATGACTACTTACGCCATGCCCGGAAAGCCTTTCCACATGTCAGCAATAATGTTAACGATCACACCTCCATGTTGCTTCATCCATGTCGTGTACACTGTGGAGTGCAACTCAAGGTTATTGGAATGAACAAAAATGAAATAATGAAAATTAACATTAAAAAAAGAAATATTTCCACTAACGAACTAAACGAAGAGCAAAAATGTCCTTTGTTTTTATCTTTGTCAATGAATTTCACACAAGCTTTATTTCTTACTTCTGTACATCCGTCATTACAGAAGAAGGAAGGTCAGTCATTTGAGGATTGTGGTTTACTTTATTACACAATAGTAAGTGATTTTTTTTTTATCTTGCACATGACATATAAAATGTATTTTTAAAAAAACTAAGACTAATACAAAACTAATTGAAAAATTAACCAAAACAAAGCGGTTTCGAAAAAATACAAACTAAAAAAACTAACTTGTCTTGAAAAACGAAATAAAACTAACTGCATTTAAAATACAAAAGTCAAAACAAAATAAAAACAAACTACAATGAA